ATGTGATAATGTAACGTTTCTGCTTTCAAGTCCTTCCTCCAAGTCTTAACGGAGTCAAGTCTCATGTTTGTCAAGTTCCATAGAAGTCGTTTCTCCAGTCTCACATTTCTGTGACTCAGGCTGACTTGAGTCTGAGTCACAACACTCTGTAATGTTATATTTGATCGTCCAATCCACATCTTCTCTTCAGGCTTTTAAAAGACACATTTTCTCCTCCACTCTCCTATTGTATAAGAAGGATAATGCTCGGACAATGGTCCTCACAGTGGAGCATCGGTGGCCTGTGTACTGCTCTCTCTTTGGGTATAGGTGGAGCTTCCTGAGACTTCCGCTCTGCCTTGTGCTAGCTGGCTAGAGCAGGCCTGAGTGTGCAGTGAGGACAGCCAATGCTAATCTTACCCTGAAGCACACACAGCCAAGACCAATTATATCATTGAAATGAAATGAGCTCCTTTCACTGAGAGGGATTTAAGTTGTCTGTGCATGTAAGAATGGTCGCTTGTGGGAGACGGTGTATATGGCTGTTTTTAAGCTAGTTATCTCTATTTCTGACAGTGCTGTACACTATTTAGTTCTTTAGTGAGAGCACTATACTACATTTCTTGTTGTTCTCTCTGCTGTTTTTCTCGGTTCAGATCTTGGCCTTGGAGGTCTAACGATAAGTTCATGCGCAGTGCACACGCAAAAATAATCCGAGTTCTTATCATTAGAGACTCTTGAAATTCTTTGTTATCCTCCCCAACTCTACGGAAAAAATAGCTTTTGTAATAGCAGGCTACATACTTGACAAGGCCAGAGTTTCTATCTTCCTGAGAGCAATGGGTGTACCAAAGACCCGCTGTCCCTGCTTTGAGCACTTCACCTGAGTGCTAGTGGATGTTTCTCCTGCAGCTGTCTCTTCCCGCAGTGCTCACTTTGTATCCGTCACTGTGTCTCGTCCTTGTGTATCAGCAAGGCTGAACAGCTCAATTAATACATCACAGACGCCACAGAAAGATGAAAGGGGTGGGCGAGGTGAGGTTGAGCGGTAGAAAGTGGCGCTCACTCTTAGATATACTTTTAGTGAAACCTATCACTGCGACAAAGGAGAAGATGGCAACACCTCCTACAACAGACACACGCAGCTACAATACACATGATATTCAAACCTACAATTTATAGTCAGACTCCAATCTTTCCATAATGCATTCTGCAATCTGCACTCTTCATGAAAGGCTCTTTTCTGAAATGAAATGCAGATGGTGTTTTCCATTCTAAATAAAACATTTGATTAGACTATTACTGTTGTACGCTAGATTTAGCATACCTGAAAGTTGGTTCCTAAACCGTAACATTTGCAAAGATGTATGGTTTTAATTGCAAGACAGGGTTCAAGATACGTTTTGCTCAATTACTGGGGACATGTGTGTGTGTTCTTGTTGTAAATGATCAAATATCTATTTTTTTAAGTCCTCTATATTTTCTAAAAGCCATTTGATGCTCTTCTTCCTTCCCCCGAGATCTTCTCTTCTTGTTCTTACCGGACACAAAGCATTCTGTACTTAAGTTCTCCAAGTTATGTCGAAGTAGACTTTTACACTTTATGCATCTACGTCATCTGTACTGAGCCGGGACTGTGTTTGATCTTTTATGTATGGAAGTCAGTCTTGTCTTGTGTGTACTACATAGTGCTGAGGCCAAATAGCCCCCCCCCCCCAAAGAATTGGCTCATAGATCCACATTGTCCCTGTAATGATGACCAATTATTTATGACAAAAAGCTTTGCAATTGGTGTTTAGTAGCTAATGTGTTACAGCTATTAGTCAGAGCCATTGGTAGCGCAGACGGAGAGCTTTTGTTTCATTGTCACATGTTCTTTCTCTAACCTTTTCCCCTCTCCCTCTCCCTCCCTTTCAGTGACCCTTCTTTTGCCAGCTTTGTGTTTCTTTTTCTTCCACTTTTTTATCTCTGTATTTTCTCTCCCTCGTGCCCCCTAAGGCCCATTAGTCTGTCTAACTCGGCTGTGATTACAGGACTTATGTGTTCACTGTGTGATCATAGTGCCAACGTTGTCCTCAGAGTCTCTGTCTGACTGACTGACTGCTCACTAAGGCACACTGATTCCTCCGTGTATCGCCCGAGTATTCATTTATTTGCACTCCATGTGCTCTTTTCTCTTTTTCTTGCCTTTTGTCTTTCTCTCTGTTTCAAGTTCTTTCCTTTCCTCACCCTCCTCCGCTGATTATTTTCTGTCGTCGTCTCTCTTTGCTTCCCACCTCAGCCTTTCTCAGCGTGTCTCTACCACACTTGGTCCCTCTCCCCGTCTAATCTTTATCCAAATGCCTCCATGTTATCAGCTTACCACAGAACCATGCTTTGGGCACCCGGTAGTGTTAACCCAACAAATAATAAAGTGAAGTGTTTAGTAAAGGATCTCTCATGGTCCAGCGAGACTTCCCTGCACTAGTATCTCACTTTTAAGCAAACCCTAAAAAAGAAGGGACAAAAATACTTCACTCTCATATGCCTCTAAGGGTATTAGCTATCCAAACTGCAGTGACACTGAGAAGAAAGTCTTTTATAATAAGAATATTCTTCCCACGAGCTGATGGAGTCATGGCCTTGGGATACAACAATTGAAAATAACTGAGAAAGTACTTTTCCCAGTTTATGTATTTTGCTGCAAGTTATATGTAGGTTTGTTTGGAACGTCCAGCCGATGTATCGACAGGTTTATTTCAACACTTCCTTCTATAAAACATCAACAATCCAACATTGCCCATAGCCTCCTTATCAGAACATGAGTCAGTGGAAAACAGGTTGTGAGTCGTCACATTTTACAAGGCCTATGGCATGAGTCACACTGTGTAGGTTTCTGCTCTTTGCTCACCGGGATGTCCATGTGCCCGGTTATTAAAATAGCCAAATGTTTGTCATGTAGCAGAGGGTATGAAATCAGAACAGGAACTATGGTTACCTGTCAAACAGTCTGCTGCCCACTCTGACTGTCACACGGGTTATTTGTTTTACAAGGGGCCTGAGATTGTTGAAAGTCAAAGCACAAAATGAAAGTAACACACGAGTGAAGGTAGCCCTTGAAAGAATGAAAAACAGTGCTCTTTACCTTTGTGATGAAAACATGGTTTTGTCTGGTTGTCAGACTCCTTTTGCTTCATGGCTGTAGGTGATGACAACACTGCGGGAGAGCCAGAAACTCAAAAGTGTGTGTGTGTGTGTGTTTGTCTGTATATGCGTGTGGGTGTTTGGGGGAAGGTCTTTTTTTAAGCAGATGAGCATGGGTAACTTCAAAATCCTTAAGAAATGGGGCGGTAACGCGGCTCGCCATATGTCGCTACAGATGTTGATATTACATTATAGATTAAGATAAATGTGCTGATGATGGCTCTCCTGTACGCCTGCTGCATACTACTGACTTTGAAACAACGGCCATTCTCACAGACATCATGACTGCTGAGCTGTAGCTTCATGGTTGCTATGCCAACTGTGGTCTGAACAGGGTGCTTATGTACTTGGCAGGCCTCTTGTTGTAATCAGGGATATTTGTCAGTGCTGGTAATATTTCTGTCCCGTACTTCAGTAAAAGGAGAAGAACAATATCCTTTCCACTAAAGACCTACTTCAAGTTTTTAGAATTGATTAATTTGATGAATATTCTCTATATGATTTACCACATCTTTTTGTCAATACAAATGTTGTAAAATTAAGAAAACAGCCACCAAGAGCCCACCATAATTATATTCAATTTACAATCATATAAGTAAGAATCAAAAGCACTCACATTAATGAATCTGCAACCTGAAATCATTTGGTGTTTCTATAAAAATGACTGAATTTAAAAGATGTAATATTATTTAGAAATGCAACTTTTTCGATTGAATATCCTTTGTACATCTATTATTAGAATGTCTTTGTGTGTGGGGTTAATGGAAGTTAAACGGGCCCTATTATTCTTTTTGTGGGCTTTCACTTTCCTAGTGTGTTATCTAGTGTAGGTCTGAAATCCCAAAGTTCCCTCCAGATGGAGTTTCTCTGCAAAACATCCCCCTGCCTGTAACTCCATTAGACTCCCATGTTTTCTTCCGTTACATAGTGACATCACTATGTAACATTTGTGATTATATAGGCTAGCGATCCAACACATTGTACGTGGTAGGCTAAGGGGCGGGACTTCTCTCAACAGAGCTGGCCAGCTAACCAATCAGAGCAGACTGGGCCGTGGTTTCAGAAAGAGGGCACAAAGAGGTTCTGCAGCACAGGCAGTATGAGAAAAATAAAGAGCTTTTTGAACATTAAAGCATGGACACATGTCACAGTAGAGACACAAAGTATATAATGAAAACTGAAATTGAGCATAACTGGGCTCTTTTTAAAATATAGATGTTAGCTACAAAATAAACTTAAATTATTAACGTACTACTCATTATTTGTTTAACTATTTACTATTACCTTACCACACATGCAGTAATGTAAAGTTTTCCCTGCTTTCATGTCCTACTATATTTTGAGGAGCTGTCCAAGGTGCTGCAAACAAACCCTTTCTTGCATGGTGCTGAAAGTAAAACACACGAGACAAACCTGGGTTAAGAGCAGTGGACTCTCCGCAGCTTGAGGGAAAGCTAACAGGAGGGATCTGTTTGTCTCCGGACTTGTTTTGAACGCTCCATGCTCGCGTGTTGTTTGCGGCCTCTGTTGTGTTTTTACTACTGTAGCCAGGGGATGATGGAAAGCTCTTTGTCCAGCTTAAGTCCTCAACAGATGGTGTTAATGCACTTATCAAAGGAAACATTCACCCTCACCAGATTTTGACAGGCCTGCCTCAGTGTTAATGGCTTCAAATATAACAATAATATTTAATTCTACTCTCCCTTTCCGAGTTTTTATCGTGCTTTGTCGCCACTGTGACGTTTTTATTTCTACTGACAAGATGAAATAAATGCAAACCACCTCTATAATCCCTCCTAAATTGACCTCTGGTATTCTCTGTTTGTCTTTCCCTGCAGTGGTGCTGCTGAATTCTAAAGAGACTCAGGCAGAGCTGGGCTGGACGTCTTACCCCCCCAATGGAGTAAGTGTGCTTACTTGCATTTTCCCCCCCTAATTGTGGCTGTTTGTTTGTTTGTACATGTGCTGGTTCACTCGCTTTGTTCCTCAAACAGCTGCTTGCCTAACAGCTGGCCAGGACCACACATTTTCATCGTTCCTCTGCTCATGCTGTTTCCCTTCTTCTACTCATCGTTCCCTTCCTTTCCCGTGTTCTCCTCTCCCAGACCAGAGCTCATTATCGTCATGAATCAATGGTGCTTATGCAGGCTCGGATGCTGCAGTGTCCAAAGCAGACTCACAGATATGCCACCACAGATAAATGGTCCCCCTCAGTATCGATCGATGTAGCTTGTGAAAACCTTAGCGCTAAGTTATGACTGCAAGACAAAAGCAGGAGGTTGTTTTTTTAAAGAATCTGCCACTGCCGAAGCAGTTTGTCACCCACTTCCAGCTGAAAGGTTGGCCTTTCTATGCGTAACAGCCAAGGTGTCTATTATTATATAAACAGCGTTGTACACATACGTACTGTTTAGTGCAGATTCTGTTGAGTCACTGTCTGCGTGAGGTGGCTGTTGGACCACATGCTAAACTAAATCTTCAGATTAATGGACTTGTGTGACTCGCCCACAATCCCCAATAGAGCACACTTTGATTTAGTCACCTCGGCAGTAGTGCGGTTTATCACATTGCCATCTTAGACAATCTGTTTCCTATGTCTGGTTTGCTCTGGAGTCTGTGTGTATGTGAGACCGAGGGAGAGATCCACATTTGGTGCTCAGTTTACTTTGAATTCTATCACGTCACAGTCAATAAAATAGTCACATGGAGCTGTAGTCATTCATTCATTGATATATTATATATCAGATTAAATGTCCCAATCTTAAACTGCAAACCTACTCAATCAAAAAACAACCAGAAGTAGTGACTCTGCTTCTATTGGGCATACGAAGGCACTGTACATCAAATGTAACTTTACTTTAAATGATGTCATTACAGAGGGAGTGGCAAGGTCAACCTTCTTTCCATATTTCATTTGAAAAGAAAAGAAAATCCCCTTTTTAGTATGTCAAATATTGCAATACCCTCCCCCAAAACTCAAACATATTATATACACATATACAATTTAGTATGGGCTTATGTTATTGAAATATTGATTAAGTTAATTTAACAATAATTTAAACACAAAGACAGGATTGTTGTACAAAAACACACCTTTATAATTGTGGACAAACAAAAGCCATGTTTTTTTCTAAATTAAAACAATAGAAAGATTAACAAAATATTTGAAATAATACATAATATAATAATGCTAGGATGATAAATGCTCTTCCACATGAAGTCAGACAAAAATAACAAACTCAAAGAAAAAAACTACGGTAAACCTTTGCAAACCCGAACCCCCCCCCCCCCCCCCCCCCCCCCCCCCCACACACACACACTAGTCACTTTTGTCCCTCAACTAATGGTTGTGTCCAAAAGGAAAGCTATTGTCAGAAGAGGGACCCATAATGTACGCCTTTTATTTAAATCAATTAAAGATGAAACCCATTACCGTGTTAAAAGCAGAATATTCACAAAAATGACATAAATGAATGTATATATTTGATGAATTTGCCCATTATCTAAAAGTATTTATAAGTTATGGGTGTTGTTGAACACATTCCTATTAAATGCCATCACTCTGAGAAAGGCGGTGGATATAAAAGGAAACCGGCAAACCATGACTAATGTTTCTGCTCAGAAACATCTCTCAAGGCTGATGTGATGACTGGTGTTGTGTGGTTTATTTTCTCTGTGACGTTATTAAGGAATCTGAGTGCCAATGCTTTTTCAAACACCCACTCATCACATGATGTCCTTAGACCTTTAACGGGTATTGAATGTGTTCTTACCTTTTCTGACTTTTGACTTTGTCTTTCATTATCTGTGTTGCCTCCTGCCCACATCTCTTTACTTTAGTTTCTGTCTCTTCACTCCCTCATGTTATCGATTTGCTTCACTACAAATATATACCAATGACTCCCTTCTGGTTGTCAGAGGTGGGAAGTAGTGTAGTACAAATACTTTGTTACTGTTAGGGATGGGTATCGTTTGAAATGTATCGATTCCGATTCCGGTTCTGCTTATCGATTCCTGTTCTTATCAATTCCCCGTTTCGATTCAAAGATTGTAAAAGAAACAGGTCAAACGTTTAGATAACAAAAATATCTTAATTCTTTTAAGCTTTAACTGACATTTTTACAAATAAAAAATATACATGCAATACAAATGTATTGCACAATAGCTGTGCTTTATTTTAACTGAGCTATGCCTGTGGCAAGCTATTAACAGGCATTACACTGTGCCTTGACTTTTTCTTTTTTAGTGTAGTGGAGCCTCACTTTAGAGCGTTTACCGCGACCCATCTTTGGTGTTATGAAGTGACTGAGCTCGTGAACTGTCTACGGGAGGGCGGGGGGAGCCTCACTGCGGGGCAACTGTGGACCTCTGTCGCCTGTCAGCGCAACTTACATGATGCCGTTTTAAAAAATGGGGGCCCGCTGACGACCGGCCGTTCTGTGATTCTCCAGAACACACAGATGGCCAGTCCCTGTATTCCACCGGGTCACCGCGGCGCCGCGGTGCAGACGGACCTGCGGCGCAGATGGACCCGGTGGAATACAGTGTCTACCGCGTTTAGGAACCGTTAAGCAGAACCGAAATTGTGTATTTTGTACGGGTACCCGGTACCCGGCATTTTCTTATCGGTTCTCATCGGGAACCGAGTTTCGGTTCCCAACCCTACATGTAGTTACTGTACTTAAGTACATTTTTCTGGTATCAGTACTTTTCTGTAATACTTATTTTTCTGACGACTTTTAACTTTTACTTCTTATATTCAAAAGAAAATACCTGTACTTTCTACTTCTTACATTTTCCAAACAGGCTGGTTCCTTTAGTTTGAATGTGGCGTGATCATTATTATTTAGAGTCATTGCGTGCCTATTGATCCGTGTATCCATCACTTCCTGGTCTTCTCTAAAGAAGAGGGACCAATGAAAACGTTGTCATGTTGCCATTGTTCAGCATGGAAACATTCATTAGCTAACAATGACATTATTGTTCTATTAATATAAAGGGAGGTCAGGTACTCTTTAAAACAGCTGGTAGTTATGGGTACTTTTTACTGAAGTACATTTCGAAGCCCATACTTCTTTACTTTTACTTGAGTAAAAAAGTTTAGTCAGTACTTCTACTTGTACCAGAGTATTTTTAAACATGAGTATCTGTACTTCTACTTGAGTAAAGGATGTGTGTACTTTTGCCATCTCTGCCGGTTGTGCTTCATTCCTCCTTCTTGACTTCACCTCCACTTCCACCTTTGAATACTCATTGTTGTCCTTCTCTCCTCTTCTCCCCCCTCTCCCCCTGCCCTCCTCTCTCCAGTGGGAGGAGATAAGCGGTGTGGATGAGAAGTACAAACCCATCCGGACATACCAGGTGTGCAACGTGATGGAGCCCCTGCAGCAGAACAACTGGCTGCAGACCGGCTGGGTGACGCGTCAGGGGGGCCAGCGCATTTTTGTGGAGCTCCAGTTCACGCTGCGCGACTGCAACAGCATCCCCGGTGTGGCGGGAACATGCAAGGAGACGTTCAACCTCCTCTACGTGGAGACGGACAGGGACCTGGGGGGCGTGACCCGGGAAGACCGCTACACCAAGATCGACACCATCGCCGCCGACGAGAGCTTCACGCAGGGCGACCTGGGCGAGAGGAAGATGAAGCTGAACACAGAGGTGCGTGAGATCGGACACCTCAACAGGAAGGGCTTCCACCTGGCGTTCCAGGACGTGGGCGCCTGCGTGGCCCTGGTGGCCGTGCGGGTGTACTACAAGCGTTGCCTAGCGACCGTGCAGAACCTGGCAGTGTTCCCCGACACGGTGGCCGAGGCGTCCTTCGCAACGCTGGTGGAGGTGCGCGGCAACTGCGTCAACAACTCCGAGGTGGACGCTGACAGCCCTCCCAGGATGCATTGCAGCGCCGAGGGGGAATGGCTGGTGCCCATTGGGAAGTGCAGCTGCAGCGCCGGCTACGAGGAAGGACACAGCAGCTGTGAAGGTAGGAAATAAATAAATAGACAGCTGGATAGCATGGGTTGATGAAAGAGGCCAGAAAACAAAAGGGGGGAACAAAAGGAACGAAAAGAGAGTGTCTGAGGAGATCTTAACAAAAGAATGAAAGGACAAGGCAATTAGATATTTGTAAAACAGATGTGATGATAGGGAAGGGAGTGGATTTCACTACAGGCGGTATTGTTCAAAACAACATGAAACTGTGAAAACAAATCTCTGGTATAAGTAAAAAACTGAAAGTAGGGATCCTTGAAACAAATATTTTATATTTTTTAACTTGGAAATTACCGCTTCCAGATACAATTGCAAAAATTGGCAAGACAGATGGATGAATCAAATGATACATTTGGTCTTAGAATTCAATTGAAATAATTGGTCTGCTTTCTTCTTCTTCCTTCACACTCCCATATTCTGATTACATTTTCAAATAATGGACAGGAATGACTTAATAAGATGTTTGAGTTGCACTGAAGAGAGTGAGCAAGGTGAGACAAAAAGGATAGCAGAATACGGAGAGAAGTTGTAAATGAGAAACCTGGCTTTTCATGTTAGAGAGAGTTGAAAAAGAAAATGTAAGATCAGACAGAAAGGGTTGAAATGTATGAAAAAAGATACTGGAGCTGTGAAGATGCAACAGATACTGTAAGGGTGAAGGAGAACAGTAGAAATAATTGCATGTGGAAGGAAAAAATCAGGAAGAAATCTCTGTTAACAAGTGTCAAAACAAAGGGAATATTACTGAGTGAAGGTTATTTTTAAAAGGAGGGTAAATTGAAAATATAGAAGCGCTCCGTTTCAATCCATGCCAGCTATTGTTCAACAATGACATCCATGCTGAGGGCCTTGATCGCTCTGTGATGTAATCTTGCTTCATGCGTATAGAGTGTTATGGACATGTGAGGTGTGGTATGGACCGTAAGCCTGAACAGTCTGAATGCTTTGTGTGTAAGTGTGAACACAGTGACTAATGTGGTCTTTTGCAGTGCCCTATTGAGTTTAACACCACAGCCTCTCCTCTAACATTTGCATGTGTCCTGAAATAACACACACACACACACACACATACACACACTCCCTCCCATGAAGCTTGGTGAAGGCGTAGCCTGTGGCACTCTGACGTAAACAGAGAGGGACAGTATTGGAATCTTTTGTCACAACCTATTGCTCATACCGCAGCAGCAGTTAGATCGCCGACTGTTGCTGTGGGCTTTCACACTCCATCTTGCATTGTTGTGCAATGCAACGTGGGTGTTGTAGTCATTCGACAGCAGACTTGGTGTATTAGAGTGTTCAGTTTTGTCTCCTCTAGATAATGGTGTTGTTTTATGGGTGTGATTTTAAAGCCGGGTATTTTATAAATCCAAGTTTAAACGTTGTTTTTTTCACCTCAATGAGTGCATTGGGCACTATCCATCCCTGTTGAGATACCATGCTGATATATGCATTTATTTTAAACAGAATTTGGACCATTTGATTTTTGCATCTGTCAAAAGAAGTTTGGGCATAGGGGATTGCATGACTAAGATGTTTTTAGAAGTAGAACAAAGGTAACAAACAGGCAGGTGGGTAAGAAAAAAAAAGGACACCTGGAAAGAATCATAAAAGAAGGGTAGAAGCACAGCACACAAGGGAAAGCAGAAATAACACTTGGCTCGACAAAGAGTACAAATTGAAAAAGTATTAGCCATAAAGTTGGTAGAATCAACAATGCTGATCATTAGTGATGCAGAACTTTGGCTGTGTTGCAGTACTTCTGTTGGAGATGAGCACTGCCCACTGATATTGGCAGTTGGCCTGTGTGCAAAACAAAGTAAGTGTTGCTTGACCTGCTCTCTGTAATTACCAACAATGCTTTTTCTACAATAAAATCTCAGCTGAAGACAATAAAATCTGACGGACAAACGAAACAACAGACACACAGAGAGCAGAAGAATAATGAGCCGTCAGCAAAGTCTGAACACACTGGAAAGTGAGTAAAGAAAACTAGTGACGGGAGGATAAAAAACTTTGCAAGGAAAAGCAGGAGCAAAGGGAGTAAAAGGACAGGCCGGGCATGCTGCCAAAGGAGCGAGCAGACAAGGATGTTAAAGCCCGGTGACAGCACTGATAAAGACAGGAAGCCCAGAGAGGAAGAGATATGCTGTGTCTTTGCTGCTCAACCTTCCCTGGGTTCCGTAAAGTCACTTGGTAACAGTGTGGTCTGCTAGGTGACAGGGCCTGTCATGCCCCCCTTAGAGCAATCCACCCTCACAAAAACCTATATATATACACACATTCTTCAGTGCCTCATTCCTCTGCTCTGCCGTACATACTGGTATGAATATGCACCCCCAACCTCAGACATCTCCCACCGCACCAGAGCTATTGATCAGCCGTAATGCTCCACTAAACTGAAGAATTGCGCTGGGACTGCTCATGCTCACATATAGTCAGGGCACACATTCTTTAGCATGCTGTACCAGCAGCTACACACACACACTTAGGTTGATTTCATTCGTGTGGACAAGAGAGACGTGGGGTTTCCATGTGCTTGATACAAATGGTTGATGCGATAACAGCGGTGTGTGTAAGAGAGTTTTCTGTATGACATGCATGCCTGACTGCTGCGAAACATGATATAATGAATGCAAGGCTGGCAATGATTACATAACCATTATGTTACAATAATTTCCGCGCGTGTCTGTATGCATGTATTCCAACTACGTCTTATTTACTCCTGGGTCTAATTGTGATACTGAGTGAGTGCAAATGCACTGAGCCTCTCGGTGCAGGTCAATAATATTGAGTAGCCCGTGAGTAGCTACTGATAATGGTGTAAGCAGATAGTGTTGTGCAGTGGAGAGGAATATTGGTGCCACACACAGTGTAACAGTCACAACAGACCCGGGCAACACTGGATCACTTACTCATTATGCATCTTCTCATTATTTACGAATTGTTGACTGACTGAAGTTAGCTTTATGTAACAAGAAAACCTCACAAATAGTCGGTTTGTGTTTTTTTCTCTCCAAGGTGTTATGCCATTTCTAACATTTCAGTAGTATGGAGCACACATTTATTTTCACTATATTGTGGCAGCTAGCACAAATAACACAGCAAAGCAAACATTTCAATTGTATTAGCAGCAGCATCACCTGCATTTGGTTTAGGATCCATTTTTAAGAGGCCCAATTATGCTCCTTGTGGTGTTCCCTTTTCCCTGTAGTGTGTTATATACTGTAGGTTATTGTGCATGTCAATGGTCTGCAAAGGCTAAAATCCCAATGTTCCCTCCAGAGGCAGTTTACATACATCATACAACATAATCCCCCCCCCCCCCCACAAATGCTTATTCTCTTAATAAAAAATAAAAAACTGGCACCAGTATACGTTTGTAGTCACAGCACAGCACACATTTTGTTTCACTATATTGTGGTAGCTAGGATTCACAGCACACATAATGCAGCCAAGCAAACATTTAAATTGTATTAGCAGCTGCGGACATGGCAATCACCTGCATTTGGGGAGGGATACATTTTTAAGATGCCCAGTTATGCTCTTAGTGGTTCTCCCTTTCCTGTAGTTTGTTATATAGGTTATTGTTCATTTAAATGGTCTGCAAAGGCTAAAATCCCAAATGTCCCTCCAGAGGCAGTTTCTTCCCCTCATAAACCCCCCCCCACAAATGCTTATTCTCTTAATACAAATACAAAAACTGGCACCAGAACACATTTGTAGTCACAGCGCCAGGATTACAAATCGGCACATGCGACTGCATTAAAAATGTAATTCAAATTTAAAAGAGAAATATTAGCATCCATTAAATTAGAACATCAGATTTCAGATTCTTCTTCATTGTTTGCGCATAATAACTGAATGGATGTCTAATTGTGGAAAAGCTGACGAGCAAATTCATGCAGTGTAAAATGATATCACTCTCGGTTTCCCTGCCTTTATCTCTTTTAAAATGGAGTCACCACAAACACACATATTAAGCATGAATGAATGAATGGAGGAAATCCTGGCGTGTCAAAAACAAACAAATAAGAAACACTTCATCCCCAGTCGCTCTGTGAGACGCTGGTGGCACTTGACCAGCTTCTAATTGTGAATGTGAAGGAGGATGTTATTGAAAATGAACATATGTGCCCCGTCAGCTTGCTCTTGTGTAATAATAATAATAAAGGTGTAGGAGCAGAGACAATCATTAAATAAACAGATCAGTTAGAAGTGACACATGTAGAATCATCCGCTTGCTTTAGCTCTCGGTCAGCAAGTTGCACGAGCGCACACATCATTGTTCCTTTCTATATCCCCACTCTGCATGCGTTCGCACATTTGCATACATGTAGTAGCGGTGATGAGCTCTCGCATGTCCATGACTCTCATTATGAAATGCCACCAGCGGTAACACGCGGGGGAATAAGAAATGATGTAATAATTCACCTCGCAAATGCTATGTTTCATGTGTATTTGTGTGTGTTTCTGTCACACTCATGAGCTCAATCCTGTTCTAATTAAGCCAGACTGCTCTTTCCATATAATTACTGAGTGTAGCGCGTGCCTTCAGCAGATTCTCTTATTATCTCTGTTGTTTGCTGCTCCACAATTCCAGCTCCAGGCACATTAGCCACCCTGCTATTCCTTTCCGATTGCTCTCATTCCCTCTGTAATTTACTCCACGCCTTCCTTCTCCTCCCCTTTTCCCCCTTCTTCATTTTTCCTCGCCCCCCCCATGCATTCCCTACACCGCCAAAAAAGAGCGCACTTAATTTCTACCCCACTGATCTCAGCGGCGCTTCACGACTTCCTCTAAAACCGTCCTGTTCCTCCTCATTTTCTTCTCCCCCTCTCTTTGCTTTTCTCTCCTCATTTTGTCCCAATGCTGTTTCTGTGTCCCCGCCCCTCTCTCCCTGACCCCTGTGGAGACCATGTGGCAGGGTGAGATGGGGTGAGATGGGGTGAGATGGGGTGAGTCAGGTTAACATGCTGGAATCTGCCGGAGAA